AAATCCGAAAATACTCGTACTCATCCTAGTCAACTCGCTACCGAATTTATTAATGTGGCGCCCCCCACGGAGCCCACACCCATGCCCACGACTCAAAACTTCGAGTACCGATGACAAATACCCGATTATCGTTGACCGGATTTATTTTCGTGCGAAAAATACGCGTTGTGACGGCCCTGGCGACTCGAACCCCCTATCTCATGTATTGTTTGTTGATTTTTAACTGATGAGATAAATTCTTAATGATCCAGTTCCTGTATTGAAGTCACGTAATCACTAAATTCCGCTTTATCGGCTGATAGCGATGTCGAGTGGCTTATCGTGATCACGGTGTGTTTTCTTGGGGATTATTTTTTGAAATTATGTCATTATTGGATACTTCACGCGACAAGCGCTTGTTCGATCTTTTTATCGCGAAATAATGCATTGTTTGTTCCGATACGATCTACCATTCTTTGTACAATCTGCACTAATCATTCATTGCCAGAATTGGTCGATTCGGATGGGTCGAAGGTCGAAAAAGTAGCGCACAATTTTTTAATTCGCAAATACAGGACGGAACAGTAATTTTGTTGTTTTTAAAGATAGTATCTTGAAGTCTACCTCACTTAAAAAAATGTGTCAAAATTAGTTTCACAGTATAGTTGGTCAATGGACCGTGAAAAGAGCCAATTCTTAACAAAAATCCGAAATCCATTTTGTATTAGGGATTATTATCATAAAAATATGATGATTATTTATTTTTTAAAATGTGTGTTTCAGAAAATTCTACTTCTGAAGCACTGTTACACACCGCCGCCGGCGCCGGTAGCCTTTGAAAATAAAACTAGCAGGCCAAGTTTTAAAATTGTAGCAGGATAACCATAAAACTATGATCTTGGGTCATATATTAAAATGTTTATTACCCTACCTGGCTATTGTTTTTTTTTCTACCTGCCCCAATTCAATACCTCGCGTGACATATCTTGACAGACATTTCTCTTTTATGGTGTGGTAGGATTAAGTTTGGGTCTAAATTTTTGAATTTTTCTGTCAAACGAGAGGTTAACGGCCTACTTATTGATATTAGCACAAGCAAAGGTATTTTAGACCTGGAAATACTTCCTTGTTTGGGTCGTTATTTTTCAACTTTTACTTATTAAAGTTATTGGAAATCGTTAAGCAAAATTTATCCGTTCAATTTTTCGACTTTTCAGTTCATCGATTTGAATGTTTCGAATTTTTAAATTTCTGATTTTTCACGACTTTGATGTTTCGATTCGATGTGTCGATTATTCAGTTTTACGATTTTTCGATTTCTCAAGTTCTCCATTTTTCGATTTTTCGACTTTTCGGCTTTCCGATTTTCCAATTTTTCCTTATTTCGATTTTTCAGATTTTCGATTTCACAATTTTTCGACATTCCAATTTTGGAATTTTTCAATTTTTCGATTTGTCAATTTTCGGATAGTTCGATTTGTCGATATTTTTTAAGTTTAAATTTTTAAATTTTTAATTCTATGATTTCGGGTTATTTCGATCTCTCCATCTTTTGATTTGAAGCATCCTCGATGTTTCCTGTATTCAATTTTTCGATTTCCGAATTTTACGACATTTCAGTTTTGCAATTTTTAAAATTTTACGTTTTCAATTTTTTCCATTTTTCAATTATACGATTCCGATTTCCCGATTTTTTATTTTTTTAATACATATTTCAGTTCCTCGATTTTTCAATTTTTCAAATTTTAAAATTTTAGGTTTTTCACTTTTTTGATGTTTTGATTCGATCTTTCGATTTTTCGACTTTTGGATTTCACGATTTTCGGTTTTTCAATTTTTTGGTTTTCAAATTTTTTCTCGAATTATTGAGATTTTGATGTTTCGATTTTTCGATTCTCCATTTTTCGATTCATTGATTTTTTAAGTGTAAATTTTTAAGTTTTCGATTTTGGGCTATCTCGAAGTCTCCATCTTTTGATGCTTCGATTTCTTGATGTTTCAGTTTTTCAATGTTTCGATTTTTCGATTTCTCGGGTTTTCGATTTTTTGGCTCCTCAGTTTCCAATTTTTCGATGATTCGATTTTTCAATTTTTGGATTTTCCGATTTTTCGACACTCCAGTTTTAGGATTTTTCAATTTTTCGATTTTTCAATTTTTCAATATTTCAATTTTTTTAATTTTAAGTTTTTCGAGTTCTTGTTTTTTTTTTTGATTTTTTAGTTTTTAGATTTTTCAGTTCTTCGATTTATACATTTGTCGATTTTGGGATTTTTGGATGATTCTTTAATACTTCATTTTTCAACTTTTCGATTTTTTGTTTTTTCGATATTTTGAATTTTCGGTTTTTCAATTTTTCAAGTTTTTAAATTTTAGATTTTTCACTTTTTTTGATATTTCGATTGGATCTTTTGATTTTACGACATCTGGGTTTTAGATTTTTCTGTTTTTCAATTTTTCGGTTACCGGTTTTTCAATTTTTCAAATGCTTCATTTTTCGATTTATCGTTTTTTTAAGTTTAAATTTTTTTGATTTTTCGATTTTGGGCTATTTCGAATTCTCGATCTTTTAATGTTTTGATTTCTTTGATGCTTCAATTTTTCAACGTTACGATTTTCGATTTTTCATCTTCTGGTTTTCCAATTTTTCCATTATTCGGTTTTTTAGCATTTCGATTTCCCAACTTTTCAACACTCTTCAGTTTTGGGATTTTTCCGCGGTTTTTCAATTTTTAAATATTTAAATTTTTTATATTTTAGGTTTTTCGATTTCTTGTTTTTTTTTCATTTTTCAGTTTTTAGATTTTTCAATTTTACGATTTTTTACATCACACATTTTCGATTTTTCCATTTTTACGTTTTTTGGATGTTTCGATTTCGCAATTTTTAAATTTTTTAGTATTTCAGTTTTTGGATTTTTCGTTTCTTTATTTTTTCGGTATTTTAAATTTTCGATTTTTCAATTTTTGAAATTTTTAAATTTTAGATTTTCCACTTTTTTTGATATTTCGATTCGATCTTTTGATTTTTCGACGTCTGGGTTTCAGATTTTTCGGTTTTTCAATTTTTTGCTTTTACATTTTTTTCCCGAATTATTGAGATTTCGATGTTTCGATTTGTCCATTATTCAGTTTGCCGATTTTTCAATTTTTCGATTATTCGATTTTTCAGTTTTTCGATTTCCCAATTTTTTCACGTTCCAGTTTTGGTTTTTTTTTTAATTTCTCGGTTTTTCAGTTTTCGACTCATTTTTCCGATTTTTTTAACTTTTAGGTTTTTCAACTTCTCGTTTTTTCGAGTTTTTAAATTTCATATTTTCAACTTTCCCATTTGCCTATTTTACGATTTTTACCTGGTGATTTTTTAATTTTCTGATATTGCAATTTTTCGTTTTTCGAATTTTCCGATTTTAGGTGTTAGGATTTGTCGATTTTTAAAATGTTCTATTTTTTGATTTTTCGATATTTTAATTTTTGGATTGTCCAATTTCCCGCGATTTCAAATTCTCGATTTTTCGGTTTATTGACTTTTTTTAAATTTTTCAATTTTTAATTACACGATTATGGATTATTCCGATCCCTCACTGTTTCAATTTTTCGATTTCTCAAATGTTCGACATTTCAGTTTTGTGTTTTTCAGTTTTTGATTTTTTTGATTCTTAAATTTTGAATTGAACATTCGTCGACACCTCGTTTTTTGATTTTCAAAATTTTTCAAATTGTAGACTTTTCGATTGCTTTTTCGATAGCTCGACTTTCATTCAATTTTTCGACTTTTCGGATTTCGATTTTTCGGTTTTTCAATTTTCCGATTTTTCTACTTTTGGGCTTTTGATTTTTCGATATTCCAATGATCCAGTTTCTCGATTGTTCGATTTGCCAGTTTTTCGAAAACATTTTTTCTTCTTCATTATCTGTTTTAAATACAGGGTTGTTCAAAAAATGATGCAGCAACTGAACGATACATGATTAAAATCACAACTCCAAGTTCAAGGAAACTCGTTAAAAAATAATTGTCAATATTGATTAAAAGAGATAAGAAAACATGAAAATTTGGCAAGTGGCAATTCATCCTTAACAATTTTTAAATTTGTCATAGAGTTGGTGCGCCATTTTTTGAACACCCTGTATATACGAAACTTATAGTTTTGGTTTGGTGAACACATGTTGGCAAAACCTTGTTGTTTGAAATGTTCGAACGCATTTTGGTTTCTGGTTAATTTGAACCTAAATGCTACTGAAGGATAAAATAAGTTCAGGTTTCATAATAGTCTAAAATACAGGGTGACGAAGTGGCAAAACCCGCGACTTCTGATGTCAGTCACGTGTCAAATTAAACAGCTAGAGTAAAAATCGTGCCTCGTTTGACAACCGGCCTGCACCAGAAAATCGCGGCGTTATTATTCGGCCTTTATCTTGTTTATTTTCGACGTCCCGTATGTCTTTTCGGAAATTTCCGCTCCCGGCGGCGGCGGCGGCGCCCCGCAACAGGTGTCCGCGTCCCAACTTGGTCACCCTTTCGTCTTACGACGCTATTGCACAATGCCAATTTTGTAACAATTGACCTATTACGTTACACGCCGATTGATTTCCTGGTCGTTCCACTTAGCCGCCCCGTTATCCACTCTCCTTCCTCGTCCAGCCTTCCTCCCTCGGCCACCTGTCCGAAAAAATCATCGCCCGCATCGCTCCTGCCCAAGTACAGATTTAGTTAGGAGGAAGTCTGCGCCGTCCCCCTCCCGCCCGCCCCGCGACAGATCCGGTGCGGCGCGGCAACAGCGCGGCGCCCCCACTCCGCCGCCGCGTACTCCCGCATACTCCGTCCAAACAGTTCCCGAAACAGTAGTGGTAAGGTGGCGGTCGAGCCAAGAGGAGCGTCACAGTTACTGCTAGTGCGACGATCAAGTGCGCCGAGGACTTGGTGGCTCCGGTGCAGTGCTCGTGTGTGTGGATGTGGTGCCGATTCGGATAACACGCCGAAGGTAATTGTGGCGGCTACCTGCCGCACGTGTGTTCACCTGTTGCGCGGCGGCGGAGACGCGCGAAGGTCCGCTCTTGCGTGGGCGAGAATTTCCGGCGGAAAAACGCGCTCTGGCACCGAGGGCACTCGCTTTTTTTAGGAGCGCTATCGCGTTAATGGGATTTATCGGCGCCACCTGTCGGAAGCGGATTTTCGAGACGTCACGAGATAGCGAGGCGCAGTCGAGGTGGTAGTTGCGTCAGAGCTTCCTGGGATGTACGCAACGATTACGCCGCTTTCGCAACGCGAAAGAGCGCGGATAGATGCGGCAAGACCGACCAATAACTCGCGAATATGTGCCAGAGTCGAGTGCCGCCGCGATGGCCCGTCTTTGTCCGGGCCGCCAGCAACAGATTGCGATTGCGGAAGTCGGTCTTTCCATTCCGCTTTATTCTCGCCGCGCGGCATTGACACATTTCTTCCTGGTTATATTTCACCGCGTCGGCAAAGCAAAGGTCTTCCACCCGTTTCGGTTCCCACACTTCTTCGGCGAAGGCCGCGGGGTACGTTGCGTTCTCGCATTGTCGGGACTTTATTTTCAAAACCGGATAATGCGAAATGTAAATAGCTTGAAAAAACACACTCTTAACCTTGAAATAACTTCCGCGAGCGTCAGAACCCCACGTACACAGTCGGGCTCCGCTCTATCATTAGTTCGCGTATTTTTAAATTGCATGCAAGCCACTTCCTACTCGCTTAAAAACGAGTTAATTTACGCAACTCATTTGCCTCTTCCAGCTCGACTGACAAATATGAAACTGGTTCCGGGCCCTCTGCCGCCTATACCGACAACCAGCTCGATGGACCGTCTGGCCTTGCCTTTGCCCTTCAGCCCCGACTCCCTCCTCTGGCGCTACCCGTTGGGGTTCGCCACCATAGGCCAGCAGCCCCCTTCGTCCCCGCTGCTCGACTACAAGAGCCAGCTGCCCTCCACGCTCGCCTCGGACCCCAGAGTGTGGTCCCGGGACGACGTCGTCACCTTCCTGAGGTGGGCCGAGCGCGAGTTCGACCTCCAGCCCATCGACATGGACATGTTCCAGATGAACGGTAAGCCCCAACCCACGCCAAAACACATACACTTGTTGCGGTCTTGTAGAACAAGAAGGGGAAATCCCCGAAAGGCACTTCCAAATCAACTAACGAAAGGTTGTAAAGGCGCTCTGATACCCCTAAACACGAAAATTCTTGCTCCGTAAATCTGTTTTTCAAATTTGTGCCAAATGCGTGTTTAATTGGTTGCCTATGTCATTTGAACGGCAATGGATTAAGGGGGGCGTCTGCGCGCCAATTTTAACACATAAAATTGTTGTCAAAAGAGTCAAATTTTTTAGCCAAAAATTGTCAAGTTTATTATCGTGTTGAAAGAATTAAAACCTATTGGATAAAAATAATAACAAGCATTAATGTATTGCAATAGCTGAAATGATTAACTATGATCAATGACCTGAATTAAATAGCTTTATATTAATTTAATTACAAGAATCTATTAGTTGTGCAACAGTTACAACAAATTCTTTTGTTCGACAATTTCATTATTGAAACCGGAAGCGGATTACGACGTCTTATCTGAATTTCAACACGCAGCCCTACAATAGAATTCTTTTTTGGCAAGATGTTGTAAAACAAGTAAAATTTCTTAGTTTTAAAGTGTTGAATTTGAAACGAGAATTTTATGACATAATGTACATACTGTTTTTTTTTTTAATTGAATAAATTTATTACGGGTAGATTTTAAGTGAGAAGTAGTATTTTTTAGCCGCAAAACTGACGAAAATTGACAATGAAAATGACACAAGACCAAATCTCTGTATAAAAATTAATACAACGGTTGTGTTCAAATGATGAAAACATGTCCCCAGTTATTTGTTTTTTATGCTCTTTTTTAACTTTCATTTTCTTCTTCATTGACTTCATATTAATAATTTATTACACATTAGTTCTTTTTCAGATCTCTGACTGTTTATTGTAACATTACGTTCGGGAGCTAAAAAATATAAATTTGACAAATAGTATAAATGATTTTAAATAAAAAAGGAAATGTTTTAAATTACCAGCAAAAAGAAATGCAGTTTTATGTAACTCGCGAGGTACATCACCAAGTAAGGGGTTAACTCTATATATCTATATTTATTTTGATGATAAAAAAACATTTTACAGCACATTGATTTTTTTTTTAATTAAGGCCAGTCCCCACGTTTTCTCAGCGGAATTTTCGCTCTATTTTCAAAATGTAATATCTCCGTTATTAACAGATCTATAGTTTTCAAATTTTAAATATATGTTGTCCACAACTTTGTGATCATATTATTTTTTTAATTTTAGTGAAATTTTTGCATAACGTATTTTTAAAAATCAATATTTCAGTTATTTATGGAAATTTTGGAACGGGGTTGTCACCACTGTTTTCAGCTTGCAAAACTTGAGAAATTCTACGAGGTCGATTTTTGACTTTATTTGTTGGGACTGAGATATAGTAAAAATAAAAGTTAGCAACTTCCATGATATACGCTTTTTTTAACTGTGTATCGTTTCTAAAAAATAAAATCGACGATATGTCTCGTATGATTTCTGGAGTTTTGTAAGCTGAAAACAGTGTTGAAAACCGTGTTCTGAAATTTTATTTAATAATTGAGATATTGATTTTTAAAAATACGTTATGCAAAAATTTCACTAAAATTAAAAAAAATAATATGATCACAAGCTGTTTTTAACAAAATTGCCCTTGCGTTATATAAAGAAAGTTATGGACAACATATATTTAAAATTTGAAAACTATAGATCTGTTAATAACGGAGATATTACATTTTGAAAATAGAGCGAAAATTCCGCTGAGAACGTGGGGACTGGCCTTAAATATTTATACATTAACGAATATTTCCCGAGTGTAATCTAGGAAAGTGTTGTAATAGGTTCCATTTGACAATTAATACATTTTTTGTTTTTCTCTTCCAAAATTTGATTGCGTTTTCTACAATTTTGCTGAATATATTTAATTCAAAATATGCGAAATAATACGCTTTCTACCTGTCGTCGATTCTTTTCTTTTTTTTAATCATATGTATGTCAGCTTCGGCAGATCACAAAACATTGACATAATTTGATTTCTTTAATCTCCATCAAAAACGCGATAACAGCTTTTCAAAGACTTATTAAATAATTAAAAAAAAGTGAGGTTTTCAGGAATTTTAGGTTTTTTACAGAAGATTAAAAATAATTAGTGTTAAACAGATTTATTTGTGCTTCAAGGGCGAAGAATGTTGTGTCTAAATAACTTTAATAATCTTTTTTTATACTATATTATTATACAGTACCTTTTTTAACGCTGGCCTTAGGGATTTACATGTTAAAACTTCTGGTTGTGTAATTTGTGACTGATGGTCGGCAACCAGCCGCACAGTACACAGACGACAATTCCATAATTTAGTTTTAGAACAAGGTTGCTGGAGTTGTTCTCACCACTTGCGGATTTTTTAGACTTATAAATGAAACTATAAAGTGTGCACTTTTTATTTAACGAATCTTCTGTTATTCCAGGCAAAGCCATCTGCCTGCTCACGCGCCAGGACCTGTCCGAGCGCGCCCCCGGCTCCGGCGACGTCCTCTACAACGTGCTCCAGATCCTCGTCCGAGAGGCCAACAACCTGCAGCGAATGTTGCCGTCCAGCCCTGTCACCCCCACGTCGCGCCACCCGTACCCCCTTTCGCCCCACTCGCATCCGCCCACCCCCAACTGGAACATCCTCGCTCAGAACTCTGATCCTTTCCATCCTTCACATGCTGCTTCTCTCGCGGCGCACTTGATGGCCCAGAGTAACTCGGTCACGTTGAGTCCCGCGCCCTCCGTGGACAGTCAAGCGGGGAGTCCCCAGCACGCCGACAACGCGCAGACGTTCGGCCATTCCATATTCAGCGCGGGGGGTAGTAACGGGAGCGGAAGCAACCCATCAGACTCGGACGAAGACGGCTTCGAGAAGAACGGGCAGAGCGGCAGCCCCCCGAATACTCCTAGTGCGTACTCGTTGCCGCCCCCGCTGCCGCACATAGCCCCCAGAAGCCCGAAGGAAGTGGCGAATAGTCCCTACAAGGCCGTGGGAAGGGAGTTCTTCCCGAACGAATCTCCAGAGCCCAATACGAGTAAGTTGGTTTGAATTTGGCGCGGGTCGGGGTGGGACGCGTGGATTAAGTCGTGAACGGAAACCGTGAAAAAAAAAAAGAATACTTAAAATCGGGTAAGGGTCACCCCACTTTCACTAATGTAACAAGTAAAGCAACATTTGTAGTAATTTTTGTTTACAAAATATTTAAATACGGATAGTGTTTTAGTGCACGATATTATTCAAGTGGTCGGACTTTTATCAAATCGACGCGGTAAACATTCCAGTTCAATTTAGTCGTGCGTACTACCGACAACTTCATCCGATCAAAACTGTTTAATAAATTTCTTGCAGATGGGCGTTTGCTGTGGGACTTCCTCCAGCAGCTCCTCAACGACCCCGCGCAGCGCTACACCAACTACATAGCGTGGAAGAACCGCGACACTGGCGTTTTCAAGATCGTGGATCCAGCAGGACTGGCGAAGCTGTGGGGTATTCAAAAGAATCATCTTTCCATGAATTACGATAAAATGTCTCGTGCCTTACGATACTACTACAGGGTGAACATTTTACGTAAAGTGCAAGGGGAAAGACACTGCTACCAGTAAGTCTTATATTGGTGATAAAAGAATATGTTTCTAATTGTATTGTTTAGGTTTCTGCGCAACCCCACTGAACTGAAGAACATCAAAAACATCTCGTTGTTGCGTCAGATGTCGCCCACGAACCTCAAGCCTCCGGCGCAGATGATGCCCAACGTGACCATCAAGCCCGAGCCCGTGGAGGCCGAGGGGGAAGCGAATAGGAGCGGCGACTACGACGAGAAGCCCACAGATTTGAGTATAACGATGGAAGGTCCGACGGATTTGAGTAGTAGTAGCAGACACGTGAACATCATCTGCTCGCCGGACCCCCCGATTCCGCCGCAACATCACTAGCGACAGTGGTAGTGCTTGAACTTACGTGCATTATTAGTGACTACATTGGTGCCAATATTTATGAGACTTGTGCAAATAGTGATTATAAAGATGTGTATATAGTTAATTTTTTAAAGATTTATTAAGAATGTCGGTCTTAAAACGGGAGTTTTAGGGATCGATTTTTATAATCGCATGTGCCAAAATAAATAAATTATTTTTTCATTCGGTCACGAGGGAAAGTTAGTGACTGCCGAAGGCAGCTTTTTTGGGTGATCCTCAAACAATGACAATAATTAAATTAATGTACAAAGAGATGGACTGGAAGTAAATTTTCATTTTCGGTTTGTACAACCACATTCCAATTTGTGGCATTTGCCTGATTTTTTTGTTTTTTTTTTAAGGAAATTTTCTTCTGGGTTTGAACTGGTCCAGTTCTGTTTCTGTGATCTCTTAATGTTTGACTCAATTCTTTTGTGTGATTTAAAAAGAATGTAGGATGCTTATGTATATTCAGATTCTGTACATATTTTTACTGCATATTCAAAGAGTTAGGTTTAAGTTTGTAAGGGTGGATAACCTTAATGGCTTTATTTTTAAAATGTGAATCGAATTTTGTGTCAATTGGTATATTGTTCCCATGTTGATTAGTTCTGTATATATGATTTATGTAGAAACCTGAATGCAATTTCTGTCTTAATATGTTTTGTATGAGAATTTATTGTTAACGAACATATGACAAGTTTGAAATATACCTTTACAACAACGCAACACTTTGTTTCTGTTTTTTGTTAAACGACGCCACCTGGTGATTGATTCGGGAATTAGTATGAAATTCTGGTGCTCAGCGCCTCTATCGAATGGAAGTTGCGATATATAACGGTTGTTTGTATATTACGAGAAGTAACACAAATATTATGCCCATTATCAAACTAGGTCGATTTTTTTCTCTAGCTTTGTTTACTAATAAAAATTTGGCAACGTATCGTGTGAAAAAACACGTAGTTGCACAACTTGTAAAACACGAAAAATAAAAGTGCTTTCACGTTTCGGGGGGAGAGAGAGTTAAGAACACACTAAACGCCAGACTATGAGTGACCTTTTGCCCATTTAAGCCCCCTTTCCTGCTCTCCTAGTGACAATTTTTAAAAGTGTCAGGCAACCCGTTTAACACAAGTCACCAGATTTGAATCGCTTAGTTGGTGTCCCTGACTTGGCGCATGCGCCCGATTCCAATTAATGGCGCCTATCACCGAAATTATTTTAGGTTAGAAAAAAAAAGAAAATGTTTCCAATTAAGGTGAATAATAGTTATTAATTCATTGTAAACTCCGTTTACTCCTAAATAACCATTCTTTCTAGGCAAGAGGCGCTTTATCACTTTTGCGCGCTGTCAAGAAGCCCCGATTCCTCCGTCTTAACACTACGACGACTACCGATTACGAGCCCCCTCGTATCGAAAAAAGTAAAGCTCACCGTTTTTACGAATTTTCCTCTAAAATAATCGTTTCAGGCATCAATAGCGTGCAGTTGTTGGGGCGCGTTGGCGCCGATCCCCAGAAAAAAGGCACCGAGGAGCACCCAATAGCAGTATTCTCGATGGCCACTCATACCAACTATAGGTACGAGTCCGGTCAATTTTTACAGCGTACCGAATGGCATCGAATAGTTTGTTTCAAACCAGGATTGAGAGAAACAATTTTAAATTTTTTGAAAAAAGGGCAAAGAGTTCATGTTACAGGCCGCATCACGTATGGAGAGGTAAAAGGAGACGATGGGACGGCTAGATCTACGACCGCGATAGCAGCTGACGATGTTATTTTTTTCAATAGTGCTGAACAGAAACGGAAGTAAGGCAAGACTGTTCAAAGATCTGTTTAACTAATACTTATTTTGTATAAAATTTGTAAACAATCCAAAAAAACATTTTCACTTAAAATTAATTATCTCATGCGTTTTGAAGGACTCCCTTCTAAACTGTCGCTTTTGCGGGTATGAATTCTGACTAAATTGTCGCCACTGGTTGAAGCTTCCATTTCGATTAGTTGCTCAATGACAATGGTTTTGGTTTCAACTTGAGGCATTTTTTCTTGCGCTTGTTGGAAAAAAGTGCGTACGTTGCGTATTATTTCTCCGAAGTTTTTCATGTCTGTGATGTGTTGGCGCAGCCAGAGAGACAAGTTACTTTTGACTCGGGGGTTGGAGAACCTGGCGTCTAGTAAAATAATTGCACCGTAGTCATCTTTGTGTCTAATGACCCTTCCGATTGCCTGATTGATAGCACGGGTGGCCTCCAAACTATACCACTCGTCGCCTTTTAAATACTGCAACCAAATTATCAAAATAGTCGAAAATTTGGAAAATATTTGCACCTCTTTGTCGCGGGCGTGGCGAAAATCCAGATACCGTTTCTTGAGGATTATTTTCGGGTCCTTGAGTGGTGGATACGGGAGACCTGTGATGAAAACCGCCCTTCCGTTAATGTCGGCGAAATCCAACCCTTCGGAAACCTTCCCGCGACAAACCCCCATAAAAATCGCCCCTTTGTAACTAGGGTCCTGGATTTTTGCGTAATAGTCGACCATCGCGTTATTAAACGAGATTTTGTCCTTTGGTTCGATGTAGATGGGCTGCAATATAAAATTAATGGGTGGTTAAAACACAATGGGTCGTTACTTTGGTTGCGTTTATGGCGTCCCAGATCCCCGTGCTTTGCCATTGTTGTATGGATTTTTCCATGATAACGTACGACGGGAAAAAAATGAGCACTCCGTCTGGAATAATCCGGATTAAATTCGAAATGACTAACCCCAAAGACTGGAGATATTTGGGGTTGTTTCGGTTTTGGAAGTTGCTATTCAAAAGTTCCATGTCCGGGCCTTTGCTTAAAATTTTGACGCAGACTTGGTCGCCGTCGACGATGTGGGGGTTCTCGATTCGGACGCCGATGTCGATTTCGAGTTCGGAGATTAGGGGTTTCAAGGGGGCTAAAGTACCGCTGGTCAGGATTACGCAGTGGATGTTTCGGTCCAACAGGATTTTCATTCTAGGTATAGAAAATTAATTACAAATGGCGCCCTCTGACGGTCGTCAATGAAACCGAATCTCGAAGTGTCAAAAATAATTACCCGAATCCTGGACAAAAACACCAAAAATTCAATACTCGACCCCTCTCAGTTTGACTTTGTGAAAACTGCGAGTACTGACTAAATTTACTCTTGTTGAACCACGTTGTCTGTTCGTTTTCAACTTGTACCTACAACATTTCCAAATCCAGTATATTGTAGGTTACGACGAAGAGAAAATACTTTGAAAGAGTCTTTCACTTTTTGTTTAAATTCTGGCCCTCTTTTGTAAAAAACAATAAACAGCAAATTGCTAATTAGTTGCAAACCGTATGCACTCTTCTGGAGAAGTCGTGTAGACGCTAAAAAGTCTAAAATATTGTCCACCAAGTCTGCAACCCCTGAGCAATTCTGATCAGTTATCTAAAATTTTTAAATTTATTAACAATCAGTTAATTAGGGAAACTAAGTACCCCGGCTTTTTCCAAAATGGTAAAAATATAATCACCGTCGAAAACCGTGCCTTCCAGCGCTAACTGCACTAAAGTCACGTCGTGTAATTGTTCCTTAAACTCAATCAGCATTTCCTTGAAAGTATTTAATTGCCTCGGCGTAAAACTAACTTCTTCTACATCTAAATGTCGACCACTCATCAGCAAATCCTGAACTGCTGCCACATCCTCAACAGCATTATCAATATCACCAGTTTTAATTTGTACAGAAACTGAATCCTCACAAACTTTCTCAATATTGTGAGCCTCATCAAAAATGATAATATTTTCGTGTAACTCAACCCCCAAAGATTTGCTCATCCTAGGGTCCAACAAGTAATTATAAGGCATGAAAATCACATCCGCTTCCATTTTAAGTTCCCGCGCCATGTAATACGGACAAAAGTCATCCGCGCGCCCCAAACTCACAATATCTTCCATATCCACGATCGTCAAGTCACTCAAAGGGGGCGCATCTCTGAAACCTTCAACCCTATTGTAACACCGACACTGATTTTTCTTCACCATGCTGTGACACATGTTCACCTAAACAAAACACAACCGTGTCATTTTGGACTTACTAAGAGCATACCTACTTTAAGAGACGCGTTTTTTTCCATTATCACGTCCTGATCTATGCACATTTGTTCCCTCGACCCCAAAACACAGGCACGCATGTGACTGTACGCCGTCCGCTTCATTTCCTGCATTGCTTGTTGAAGCTGGGTGTGCGTCCGAGATGAGTAGACGATTTTCGGAACGGTTATAAGCGGGGGGCTATTTTCATTTTCCTCGAAACTCTTGTCGCATTTTCTGAGGAAACTTTCCACTTGGAGTTGTGGGGTTTGGGCCTCGAATTGTTTTTTGCGGTTTTCGAGCCAAGCGAGCGAGGCGCAAAGCAGCGAGAGGGTTTTTCCGGTGCCTGTGGGGGACTCTAGGATTCCGTTTCGGTGGGTGTCCAAGCACTCGATTACTTTTGTCATGTAGTCTTTCTGGATGTCGTAGGGGGTGAAGGGGAACTTCACGTCGATGTCTCGAATTGTTACTGTGGTCATTTTGAGCTGTCAGAGATGGAGACTCGCAAAGTGTAAAAGGTTCATGTTATTGGGGTGACAAAAGTGAGGTTATGGTCGACAATTCACAAATTTAGAACTGAAATAAATAACAGTTAGGGGGTACGGTGATACTGAGGTCGAGGTTTTACTAGCATTTCTCAAATCTTGATTGAATTGTACTATTATTCAATTTGCGCATTATAATGTTTTGACAGGTAGAGGTTATGTTCGTCGGACTTGATTAACTAACTATTATTCGTGGTAAGAATAATTTTCTAAGATCAGTTATAATAATTTATACAATTTCTAAAGGGTAATTTTTTAATGCCACAGAAATATATAGTCATTGTACATTATGTATAAAAAGTATCACTAGGGTAATTGACCTTGACTGCTGCACTTGACTGTACTGACGTAATGACAGTACGGTCAGCCGCGCCATCTATTATTCAAAATGATTAAGTATACTTAAGAACTACGTAATCATCTCATACTGTCACAGTATTCAATAAATTCGCTTTTTTGTTCGTTTTTAATATACGGCTCGATCGCTCGTATCAGATACCGTTGGCTATGCCTCGTCAAAAAAATCCTATTCAACGACTCCTTCAACTCCCCGAGGTCGTAGTTGTTTCTATAATCCGTCATCGCTTTAAGAAACTCGGCGAAAACTTCATTACTGAGAACTTTTTTGGCCTGAAACAACAAACTAGCAATAATACGACACAAAAATCACGTCTACCATAACAATAAATTCGCTGATAGCAGCTTCTAGTGGTAACGTCGTTGATTTGTTGGCAACCATCGTGATTTTCTGCTTTTTCGCTAAACTCGCTCCAGAGTTGGACTTTCGTTTGTGGATATTAACCAAATTAGCGTCACTGGTGGAGGGCGAACCCAACGAAATCGAACTCGTGCTAAAATCGAAATTGCCACTTCTTTGGTTACATGAGCTGGATGGAATATTCTCATCTTTGGCTTTGAGAACTGACTACAAAAACAAAATGTATCTACGTATGTATTAAAATCGGATACGTACTCGAGGCATTTTAGTTTCGGCATTTTGAAAAAAAACCCTCAAATCTTTAACGGTTGAGCCAAAGTTTTGCATGATTTTGATGTGTTTTCGCAGCCATAGTGACAAATTGCTTTGTACTCTAGGGTTTGTGAATCTACTATCCAGTAAAATAATAGCGCCGTAGTCATTTTTGTGTCGGATTACGCGTCCAATGGCTTGATTGATGGCACGAGTGGCCTCCAAACTGTACCAATCGTCGCCTCTCAAGTACTAAAAAATACCCTATACTTCGATTATCACTAAAGTTCCTATACCTCTTTGTCTTTCGCGTTGCACACATCCAGATATCTCTTTTTTAGAATGATTTTCGGGTCTTTGAGTGGGGGGTAGGGTAGTCCTACGATGAAAACCGCTCTGCCGTTAACATCGGCAAAATCCAACCCTTCGGACACTTTTCCTCGGCACACCCCCATGAAAACCGCCCCTCTTATACTCGGGTCGTTGATTTTGGTGTAATATTCATTCATGGCGACTGCGAATGTGGGTTTATCTCTGGGTTCGACGAAAATTGGCTGCAATATCAAAATTATCGCAACATTAAAATTAATTTTGAGGTTAGTACTTTGGTTTGATTGATGGTATTCCAGATTCCCGATTCTTGCCACGCTTGCTGACACGTTTGCATAATTGGGTACGACGGGAAAAAAATTAGGACACCGTGAGGAATGAACCTGATTAAGTTCATTATCACTTGTCCCAACGACCGCAGATAATTGGGGTTGCTGCGATTTTGGTAGTTACAGTTTAGGGGTTCGTTGTCGGGACCTTTGGTGAGGATTTTCACGCAGACTTGCTCCCCTGTGACGATGTGGGGGTTTTCAATGCGGACGCCTACGTTGAGTTCGAGCTCCGAGATTAGGGGTTTTAAGGGGGCTAAAGTGCCGCTGGTTAGAATTACGCAGTGGACGCCTTGGTCCATCAACATGTTCATTCTAAGCGAGAAAAATTAAATTAAACCGGGCTTTCACCTTATTATATAGTTACCCAAAACCTGGGCTAAAACACCAGTAGCTTAAAACTCTACATTTACTCTTTGACGTAGCTTTAGTCAACCAGTCATCAGAAACTTTTTTTCGATTTTCTTCCATTGCTATGTGCACCTAAAACCCCCAAATCGATTACACCCTCTAGCGCACAAAAAACATACTTTATAACATTTTTGTATTTTTTCCTTGAACTGAGGGGTCAAACTCGCATACGCTATCGCCAACAAATCTGAAAATAATTGTAACCCAGCCCCCTTTCTAGCAAACGGACCGTCGTTCGCAGTGGCCAGAAACTGAACAATTTTTTCAAGTAAATTTTGAACTTGGTGCAGATTTCGGTCATTAATCTAGAAAACCGAAATAAAATTTTGAAAAAAATAAAAACCAAAATACAAACTCCCGCTTTTTCAAACATTCCAAAAATATAGTTTCCTTCGAAATAGGTCCCCTCCGCATTCGTGCTCGTCAAGGCAATTTCATCCAGCGCCTTCTCAAAATTCAGCAACATCTCCTTCAACACACACAACTCCTCGGCGGTGAAATCCTTGGGCACTTCTTTGTCGTTAAAATCGATAACCACGTCCTCGCTAAGCGCTTTCATCACCGCCGTCACCTCGTCAATACACAACGTAATATCAGTTGACTTAATCTGAATGGAGGCCGACTCTTCACAGACTTTCTCAATATTGTGCCCCTCATCCAAAATCACCACGTTATTAGCCAACTCCAACCCTAACGCTTTCCTCGTTTTCGGATCTAGTAAATAGTTGTACGGCGTAAACACGATATCGGCGCTTTGCTTCAACTCCTTGGCCATATAATACGGACAAAACTTATGATTCTGACCCAACTTCACCAAATCCTCGATGTCCACAACACTCAATTGTGTGATTTCAGGGTCCAGTTTCTTCTTTTCGACTTTATTATAATACATACACGATCTTTCTCTCACTTTCAAGCGGCATAAATGGACTTTCAAGGCGTTGCTTTTCTCGTTGAGGACCTCCTGGTGGACACACATTTGTTCCCTTGAACCGATAACACAAGCCTTCATGTGGTTGTAACACGTCCTTTTTAACTCCTGCATGGCTTGCGATAACTGCGTGTGAGTGCGCGATGCGTAAATTATGGTGGGTGTCCCGAGTAGCCCCCTTGTGCTATTTTCGCCACTAATGATGTTCAATTCTTTGAGAAAATCTTCACTTAGGGTGTGTCTTTGGGCTTGAATTTGGGCCTTCTTCATCTCCAGCCACGCTAGGGAGGCACACAGAAGGGAGAGAGTTTTGCCGGTGCCCGTGGGGGACTCCAGGACACCGTTCTGGCGCTCTTGCAGACATTCGAGCACTTTTTCCATATAGTTGACTTGAATGTCATAGGGAGGGAACGGAAAGGTCACTGGGATGCCGCGGATCGTGGTTGAAGTCATTTTTTGGTCAATGTTATTCAGAAATCGCGACTTTTGCAAAAAGAGAGGTTAGGTATTTGAATTTTGTGAGTGCTGTAAAACTGTAATAGAGGGTTTGTAAAGTCGCTATGGGTGCAAAAATTGAATTTATTACCTTTGGGGTTGTGTTTAATTAACAATGATGGGGTCATTTCGTGTTCATTTCACAAAAATTGGAGGGTTTGGCGCCACTACAAATTGACACTCAGTTATGCCAACAGTGTCACGACAAAGTGGCACTGCAGGCGTCCGTCGTCATTTATTTACAATGAAAATAAAATTAGGGAGATAAAAAAGTAATTTCCACGCCGAATAAAATTGTGTTAAACTTCATAAATTGCAAAATAAAGCGAAAATAACGAAAAACACGATTCTGACATTCAATGCTGCCAACATATAAACCGCCATGTTCCTGTTAATCACCAATTAAAATCAGCCACATTCAATTTCCTTTTAAAATAATGCGATAAATAAGTGTAAAGTGTGTTTTTCACGATGGATATGCCTCTTAAATTATTATTTTTCTACGTTTCGGCGGTCTTCATGGCTGTGTTTTTAGCGGTGAGAATCCACACACCCCTAACCTCAATCTCATGTTTTTTCTCCAGATTTGTGTTCTTATAATCGCCACTACTGACGAATACCCCGTAATCGTCCGAAGCAAAAAAGAAAAACGGTTCGTCGACCCCGTCTCCGGCGAAGAAATCTTATTTGCGTCGATTACAGACACCCCGACTAAAAAACTGAGCGTCGTCGTGCCGGCTTACAATGAAGAAAGCCGACGTAATTTCCCACATATTGTCTAATTTAGTAAGCAGAAACCATTTTCAGTACCGCCGATGTTGGAGGAATGCGTGGAATTCCTGGAATCCAGAAGCCAACAAAATGGGTTCACTTATGAGGTGATTGTTGTGAGTGATGGCAGCACTGATGGGACTGTCAAGGTCGCGAACGAGTGGTGCAGGAAATTGGGGGTGGATAAATTGAGGGTGCTGGAGTTGGAGACTAATAGGGGCAAGGGTGGCGCCGTGCGTCTCGTTAGTCGGTTAATTACCCCCTTAAACAAATATTTACTGGTGTTTTTTTAGGGGGTGCAGAGTGCGCGAGGGTCTGTGATTTTGTTTGCGGACGCAGACGGGGCGACGAAATTTTCAGACCTCTCCAAGTTGGAACAAGCGTTGTCTGAAAAAATCGGGGGTAAGTTCGTCGATTAAATTTCCAAATTTGAGAGTTTGTTTCAGTTGATTATGTAAAGGATGACGTTGCGGGTTTGTTGGGGCTCGCTGTGGGTTCCAGAGCCCATTTGGAGAAGGAATCAGTCGCCCAGCGCACCCTATTCCGGACTGTGTTGATGTATGGGTTTCATTTTTTGGTGTGGTTGTTTACAGTCCGCGGGATTAAAGACACCCAGTGTGGGTTTAAACTATTCACGAGAGAAACGGCAAGATTATGCTTTGATAGTTTACACGTGGAAAGATGGTAATATTTAGTAAAAATAATAAAAGTTGGTAACAATTGATTTTCCAGGGCTTTTGATGTGGAGCTGTTGTGGATCGCACAAAATCTTGACATTCCGATAATCGAAGTTGCGGTCAATTGGACGGAAGTGGATGGTTCGAAACTTACGCCGTTTTGGAGCTCTGTTCAGATGGGGAAAGATTTAGCGTTAATTTGGTTGCGTTATATGATTGGTGCTTGGAAAATCAAAGATGAGAAGATCAAGATTGATTAGTTGCTTTTAGTTATTTTTGTAATAAGTCTAAATATAGGTTTTTTAAATTAAATTGTGTTTTATTGAGTTTGAATTGGCCGCCTTAAATGGTTGCGTTGATTGGTTGCATTGGAAGCTTGCGCAGTGTCAACTGGAGTGACGTCACCGTTGGTGTTTGTTATTGGTGGTTTGTGGCGCCTTTTTTAAACGTGTGTAGTAAAAAGTGGGAAAATAATTTAAATATCTACAGACAACTATTTGCTTAACATTAATTCCTTAGATTTACGATAAGTCTACAACCTATTTGCTAAAGTCTCAACTAACAAGGTAAGAATAGCTGAAATTCTATCGCGATACTGAGGATTATCACGAAACTCCTTGACCGCGAACTTGCTCCTATTTATAAAAGAAAACTCATTATACATAGCAACATCGGCAACAATCTGATTAGACAAAGCTTCAGAAATAAAAATATGAGTCCCATACATCACAGTTTCCACAAGTGCAGGCAACCTATACCAGTTTAGACTTTCCAAAAATTCTTCCTTCGGCAGTTCACTACTATTCAAACCATGTTTCTTCAGTTCTTCGACTAGACACGAATAGTAGACATCCGCAAATGCCCCTATATTGTTTTCCACATAGTTACAATCTAAGTTAAGATACAACGACGTCAAAAAATCCATACATGGAGGCGTGTACCTCACCAATTGAAAATCTACAAGAACACACTCATTGTGATCATTGAACAGCAAATTGTTGCACCACAAGTCGTCGTGCGACAGAACATTCCTGAAACGTCTAGAGGGAGAAATTATCTGCTCCATTTCTTCGAAAATAAATCTGTGGAAGCTTTCACAAACCGCATCCACGTCGTGCTTTTTCAAAGACATCAGTCTTATTAAATCTGTGGCACATTTCGTGGCCGAAACCAACCACTTGTACCGAGGTTGCCCCTCCACAAAAGAAAAACAAGTCTCCCTGATTTCGTACTTGAATTTCTCGTCTAGACGAAGTCCCCGTTTGTGTTCGTAGATGAGGGTGGAGGCGTGGTACTTTGCCACGGTCTTCAACATAGCGACGCAGTGGTCCTCCGTCATGTAGAGTACCTTAGGGTTCATTTTGAACCCTTTGGCGTTCATATTTTCGAGAACTATTACATTGTCTTTGACGAAGAAGCATCTGGGTCCGAAGTGGCCAATTTTGAGTAGTTCGCTCAAGAGGTTTTGGTAGAGAACCACTTCTTTCTTGAAGATTCCGGCTTCTAGAACGTAGTCGAGTTGGTTGTTGTTGAACTGGGGTAAAGTCTTCAGAAAGTAGGTGGTTTGGGACTTGGTGTTGTTGGTGGCGAATCTGATGGTGAGGGTTAAGTGGTCGCCCAAAAAACCAGCAACGTTGTCGTCGAATTTGGTGATTTTGAACGAAAGGAGGTGGGCTGGGGAGTCTAAGCTTCGTCTGAGGATTTTCTCGCAGTCTTCTTTGGACATGAGGGTCTGGATTGACTCGATTGAGGCCATTGTGGTAGCACGACTCTGGTTGTGGATCAGTTTCCAGAGCATTTATATAAATTAGTGTAAATATTTTTTTAGATAATTAATTGTTTGTGGTGTGTATATTTCTACGTGTGTGTTATTGTTATATGGTGATAAAGTTTTCTCTCGTGACAGGTCTTAGTTTGATGTTTGTAGTTTGAATGGAAAATGTTCAATGTTTTGAGTTGTTACTAAGGGATTATCTGGGATAATGCATTTTTGTTCTATTTTTAAGTGTTTAATTTATGGTAGCTTAAGAAAAATTGAATTGTTCTAGACAAGTTGGCTGAGTTAAATGAACACTTGTCTGCTAGTGTCTAAATTTACATTATTTGAGTTTTCTGTAACAAAGTTGGAGGAATTAAAAACTAAAATGTCAAAAATATTTCGGAAAATTAATGAATAAATTGATCTATTTAGTTATTTAAACTGAATTGATTAAAAAAATCGAGTTTCTTAGATAAATGATAAAATTTGATTTTGTCACAAAAAATGCACAAAGAAGATAAAGAAAGTCGAAAAAGAGAGCCACAAAAAAGGCATTAAAAAGTGACAAAAACTGGCAAACAATGCGATTAAAAAATGGAGAGAAAAAGGCGTCAAAGAATGTGACAGAAACAAAACTAGCAAAAAGCATTAAAAAAGTCACAAAAACGGAAAAAGGTGACAAAATAAGTCGAAAAAATTGGCGACAAAAAGGTGATAACAAACGAAACAACAGAGAGGATAACAAAGTGATAAAAAAGGTGACAAAAAATACGGCTATAAAAAAGGGGCCAAAGAAAACGTCAAAATAAAGATAACTAAAAAGTCTAAAAAAAGTGACACTAAAAAATGTAGAAGGCGAAAAAGTGACAAGAAAGACCAATAAAAAAGTAAAAAATGATAAAAAAGCTAAAAAATCTGCCAAAAACAATTGAAAAATTGTCGAAAAGGAGGAAAAAGCGACAAAAAAGGTGATTAAAAACGGCAACTAAAATGGGACTAAAAAAAAAGGAAGTAAACATAAACCACAAAAAGGGCTTAAAAAAATCCTCAAGAAACAAAGAAAAACAGAAAAAGTGAAAAAAATGGAGCAAACAAAGCTGCTAAAAAAGTAAAAATAAATAAGAAAAAAGGTTAAAAATAGTCAAAAAAGTGACAAAAAGGTCGTTAAAAAAAGAAATGAGTGACAAAAGTGTCAAAAAAGCGCCAAAGAATGTCTCAAAAAAAGACGAGAAAAATGGGGGTCAGAAAAAAGGGAGGAAAAAGGCAAGGCAAATTACGAGGAAAAATGGCGACAAAAAAGAGACACAAAAGGAAAGGAAAGAGGGAATAAAAAAAGAGACCAAAAAAGGGCGGAAGTAAAAGACAAAAAAGGAACCAACGATTCTAAAAAAAAAAAAAACAAAAAACACGACAAAAAGGGTATTAAACAAAGATGAAAAAGGGCGACAAAAAACTGCCAAAAAAAGAAAAAAAAAATATGTGGAAAATACAGGAGAAAAAGGTCTACAAAAAGTTGATAAAAAAGGGCACGAAAACACGACTAAAAATGGATAAAAAGTACTTAATTAAAAAGCAAACGGTTAATAAACGAAAAAAAAAACGAAAATCTACAAAAAAGATAACAGTAAAAGTGTAAAAAAAAGGCGAACAAATGTGACCAAATAGGAGATAAGAAAAGACCACAAAAAATACATAAAGGAAGGCAATGAAAAAAGCTGCAAGAGTACAAGAAAATGAGAAAAAAAGGTTAAAAAAAGTCAAAAAGCAACAAAAAAAGGTGGCTAAAAAAATAAAGAAGTGAAAAGAAGTTGACAAAAAAAGACAAGAAAAAACTACAAAAAAGGGACCACAAGAAGGGGGGAAAAGACGATAAAAAATGGAAACAAAAATGGAGAGAAAAGAGGAGATTAAAAAACTGACCAAAAAAAGAGCGAAGAAAAAAAGACAAACAAGGAGCCAACAATTCTAAAAAAATAAAAAAATGACAAAAAAGGTATTAAGCAAAGGTGAAAAAGAGCGACAAAAACTTGATAAAAGGGGTACAAAAACACCACTAAAAAGCAATAAAAAATAATTAAAAAAGCAAACGGAACAAAAAAAAGGACACAAGATTTTCAAAGAAAAGCTATAAAAAGATAACAGTAAAAATGTAAAAAAAAGTGAACAAAAGTTACAAAATAGGAGACAAGCAAAGACGATAAAAAAATGGATCAAAAAAGCGACATAAAAAGCTGCTACAAAAGTAAAAGAAAACGAGAAAAAAGGCTAAAAAAACTGAAAAAGTGACAACAAAGAGCCTAAAAAAAATAAGAGTAAAAAAAAGGGTTAAAAAAGTGTCAAAAAGCGCCAAAAATGTATCAAAACAGTCGACAAAAAAGACAAGAAAACCTACAAAGAGGCCACAAAAAAGAGGGACAAAGGCGATTAAAAAGGAAACAAAAATGGAGAGGAACGAGAAGATAGAAAATTGACTAAAAAAGAGCGGAGAAAAAACAAAAAAAGGGCCAACAATTCTAAAAAAACAAAAAAGACGACAATAAAGGTATTAAACAAAGATAAAAAAGAGCAACAAAAAGAAACTGCAAACAAAAAACAAAAAAGTGATAAAAATACAGGGGAAAAAGTTCCCCAAAAACTTGATAAAAGGGTACAAAAACACGACTAAAGGGAAATAAAAAATAATTAAAAAACCAAACGGAACTAAAAAAAGGACACAAGATTTTCAAGGAAAAGCTGCAGTAAAAGTGTGAAAAAGGCGACAAAATATGAGAAAAGAAAAGATGACAAAGAAATGGATCAAGAAAAAAGAAAAGATTGAAAAAAAAAGTGTTAAAAAAAGTGTCAAAAAAACGCCAAAAAATGTGATAAAAATACAGGTGAAAAAGATCCACAAAAAGTTGATTAAAAACGGAACTAAAAACAAGACACAAAATTTTCAAAGAAAAGCTTCAAAAAAGATAACAGTGAAAGTAGTGTAAAAAATTGAAAATAAAAGAGTGACCACAAAAAAGAGGAAAAAACAATTGAAAAGGGAACAAAAAAGGGAGAAGAAAGTGGTCAAAATGTGACAAAAGAATAGATGAGGGCACAAACAGACGACAGAAGAATTGAAAAAACGACGAATAAGAAATGCGATAAAAAAATGAATAAATTGGGGCACAAACAATGGAGAAAATATGCGACAAAATTAACGGGGGCGGAAAAACGAGTGAAAAAAAAGGGACAAAAACGAGATAAAAATGGGATTACAAATTGTAGTAAAAAGAAGGGGTTATAAAAAATGGAGTCAAAGAAGTGTAAAAAAAAGGATCAACAATTCTGAAAAATATTCCAAAAAGAGACGACAGAAAAAGTACCAAAAAAGGCCACCAGAAAAGATGAAAACAAAATGTGCTTGAAGATACGACTGAAGGAAAGCAACAAAAAAAGGTTATAAAAAAAGGCGAACAACAGGCGACAAAAATAAAGAGAAAAAATGACGATAAAACAGTTAGCAAAAAAAGGCGAAAAAATGTGTCAAAAATCGGGAAAAAGATCATTAAAAATTCGCAAAAACACAAAAAAGACAGAAAAAGTGTACAAAAAGACAAAATAAGTAGATATATTTTAGCATTGTCAAGTCGACCGTTACAGAATTTCTGGGATGAAAAAATGTTAAAAAATGTCTCACACCAAAGTGTTTCATAATATATTTCAGATATTATAAGATTATAAGATATTATAAGACATTTTATGTTTACACTACATTCATGTCTAACGCTTATCCTCAGAACTTATTTCCTTGGATATTTTATTTCCTCAAAGTAGTTTGAACATTTATTTTCCAATATTATATTTCCGTATCGGTTACATAAAAGACTATTGTTATGTAAATGTCACAGCTATCTCTCCAATCCATCTGTGGAACGCAACACATAATCATCCCCATTTCTGCGACTGAAAGCCCTAAACCCCCATATTTCCAAATCCGGAAAAACTCCCACAAAAACCCCCCACGTCCTGTCCAACCGGCGTTACCTAATCTCCCTCCGCCCGCCGCCCCCGCCGCCGCTCCGTGACCTTGTCGTCTCCTTCCGCGCCGTCACCTCTATTAACCATCCCATCCCCATACTCTCGTGGGCGCTCAATTAACACAATAACGTCCATAATAATTCCGAGACGTTCACACCTCCATAACCCTTTAATTAAAAAACCGCCCTCTCCCCGCGCCCTTTTTGAATAATCGACGCCAATCAATGGCGGCGCGCTCAGGGCGTCGCGACGCAGTTCCAGCGGCGTCGCGGCGCATGCCGACCGTCTCCCGGATCATTTATTCAGTGAAATCCGGCAGGCGAGCGTCTTCGCACGCACACGGCGACATGGACCAGCAGAAGCTGCTTACACCTTCTTAAATCTTGGTAAGTCGTGTGCTTTGCGTTGGGGGCCGCGGGGACGGCGCCAGGCCACCGGGGGCGGCGTGGGGCCCGAATTCGCTGTTTGGGGACTGCGGGTATCGATCCGGCGCCACCTCGAGCTTAATGTCGGTAAAAATGGAATTATTTGTTTTATGTGAAGATCTTGGATGATCAATATGTTGACGCCTGGGGTGGTGGCGGATGTTTGCGCAATTTGGCGATTTTTGACACTTGTTGCGTTGGGGGAGCGGGGGCGGAATAACAAAGCGTGTTGTTGTTAATTAAAAATGTCGAGTAAGCTGTTTATGGAAACATTGGGGTGTGGGGATGTGTGTAGAACACGTGAACACGATTTTTTCTTCTGTTGAATAAATAAAACTATTTTTGTGGCATACTCTAAGTAGAAAATTTTTCGTCGCACTCAACACCATGTTGAAGTTGATAGATTTTAACAAAAAAAGTTTGACAATATTTTAAATTACAGAGTAATTTAGAAGAAACAAGTTTTAATTTACTTTGCGGTAAAATTTGATGAAGGTGCTATGTACTGAAATATGTACAGTAGTGTTCTACAAATAAATTATTGTTTTGGAACCAAAACTGTATTTCAAAATTTGGCTAAAAGTTTTAAAGAGGAATGATGAAATGGACCGCGATCTTATCGAAACCATATATGTTCCTGAAACAGAAAAATCGAGAACTTGTAAAACTGAAAAATCGAAAAGTTAAAAACAAAGAAATATTTAACAATTGAATCAAAATTCGAAAAGTTGAAGAAACTAGAAATTGAAAAAAAAAACCGAAGAATCGAAGAAAGCAAAAAATTGAAAAATTGCGAAAATCGGGAAACTGAAGGAAATTAAAAGTGAAATTGTAAAACTGAAACAATCAAAAATGGAAACACTGAATAACAATTAAAACAGTGAGAAATTGAAACATGTAAAATTGAAAAATCGAAAAATTGAACATTAAGAAACCGAAAAATCGAAAAATTGAAGAAATCGAAAAAGTAAAAATAGAAAACCGGAAAAGTAATAAAATCGAAATCAGAAACTTAAAAAATTTGAAAAATTGAAAACTTCAAAATTGAAACATTAAAACATGGAAAAATTGAAAAATCGAATCATTGAGAAGTCGGAAAATAGAAAAATTGAGAAATTGAAAAATCAGATAATTCGAAAATAAAAATAATTGTAGAATTGAAACAATGAGATCTTGAAAAAATAGAAAAATTGAAAAAGTAAAAATCGAGAAACTGAAAAATCAACAAATTGAAAAACTAAATATGAAAAACTGAAGATAAGCAGAGTTAAATGTCGAAAAGCTGAAAAATTAAAAATTGAAAAATTCGCAAGTTTGAAAAAATGTAGAAAAAAAATAATGACAAATTCAAAAGTTAAAAAATCGGGCAATGAAAAATTCAAAAATTGCAAAATCGGATTACTGAAAAATTGTGAATTTGAAAAATCAAAAAATTCGAAATTAAACATCGAAAAATTGAAAATTAGGAAACTGAAAAATCGAAGAATTGAAAAATCGAAACATTACAAATTGAAGAAAACGGGAAAATTGAAGAAACGGAAAATTAAAAATTGAAAAATCGAAAAATTGAACAAAAAAAATCGGAAAATAGTAACATTAAAATAAATAAAATTCGAAAATTGAAAAATTGGAATATTGAAAAATTCAAAAGTTGAAAAACCAAAAAATTAGAAAACAAAAATTAAAAATTGAAAATTAAGAAATTGAAAAATAGAAAAATTAAATATTGAAAGAAAAATTAAAAAATTAAATCTAAAATCGAAAAACTGATTCGCATTCAAAAAGTTACAAAATGAAAATAGAAAATCGAAAAGTTGTAAATTTGAAACTATCAAAAAATAGAAATCCTGCAAACATCGAATCCTTGGATGTCGAAGAATTGAAGAATCGAAAAATTATAAAATTGGAACACTGGAAAATAAAAAAAAAATTGAAAAATCGAATAACTGAAGAAAAGTCAAATTGAATGAAAGCATTAAAAAATCAATAAATTCAAACATTTAAATATCAAGTTATCAAGAAACCGAAAAATCGAAAAATTATAAACTTGAAACTTAAAGAATTGAAATGTTGAGAAATTAAAAAATTAAAAAAGCCGTAACCGAAAAATCGAAAAATTAAAAATTGAAAATTTGGAGAAAAGAAAAATTTAGTAAAAGTAAAAACATCGGAAAATTTAAATATTTATAAATCTAAAATGAAATCAACACTGAAAAATTGGAAACACTGAGAAATCAAACAACAATTGTAAAATTGAAACATCGAAAAAAAGAATAGTTAAAAGAATAGAGGAATTCAAAAATTTAAAGTTAGGAAATTGAAGATTAGAAAAATTGAAAAATTCCCAAGTTGGAAATTCGAAAAATTGAAAATTCGAATATTGGATTAATAAAAAATTGAAAAATTCAAATCTTGACAAATAGGAGTATTGAAAAATTCAACATTTGAAAAACCGAACAGTTACAAAATAAAAATCGAAAAATTGAGAGAAAAATTAAAAAAAAAAAAACGAAAATCGAAAAACTGTATAATTGAAAACTGGAAAAATTGAAAAATTTGCAAGCTGAAAATTGAAAATCGAAAAATGGAAAGACTCCAAAACATCGAAACTTTGGGAAGTCGAAGAATGAAAAAATAGAGAAATTGGAAAGTCGGATAATTGAAAAATCGAAAAATTGTAAAATTCGAACACTGGAAAATCAAAAAATTGAAAAATTAAATTATCGAAAATGAAGAAACTAAAAAATAGAAGAATTGTAAATTTGAAACATTGGCAAATTGAAACATCGAGAAATCAGAAAATTGAAAAAATAGAGAAATTAAAAAATAAAAAATCGGAAGATGGAAAAACCGTAAAACCGAAAAATTAAAAATTGAATATTCAAAAAATTGTAAAATAGAAAATTTGATATAAAGAAAAATTTAATAAAAAATAAAAAAATTGAAAAATATATAATTCGAAAATTAAATCAAGACGCCGAAAAATCGAAGAATTGTAAAATTCAAACTTTGATAAATCGCAAAACAATTGTAAAATTGAAACATCGAAAAATTGAATACCTAGTTGAAAAAATAGAGGAATTGAAAAATTAAAAGTGTGGAAATCGAGGAAACGAAAAACTGAAAAATTAAAAATTGGAAGAAAAATTGAAAAACTAAAATAATTCAGAACTTGAAAATTTGGAAAATCGAAAAATACTTGGTAAAAACAGAAAATACGAAAATCTTACGAATTTCTGGTAGTTAAATTGCAATCAATAATGTTTCACAACTGGGCCAACTACCGGGACTTGTTTGTATGTATAACTAGCCTGAATATACTTTATACCTTCATTTCGCAACTTATTATTAAATTTAGCTTTTACCGCATATCGATACCTCAAGCATTATTACGGAATTGTTGCCTCTAAAACAAGTGTGAGAAAAGGCGTTGGAAATTTATTGACCGGTGTGTACTGGCAGTCCTGCGCGTTACTCATTTTAGGCCCTCGCGATCTAATTACAAAAATCGCAACTTACATCAAACACAATTTTAAAATAATTACTTGACTTTTTTTTGAGGAACTATTACTCATTCATGGTTAAACTAATGATAAAAATACCACGTGCTGATAATATATGCACACCATAACGCCCCACGTTCCAAAAATAGCCCATTATCACACACCAAATCACTTTACCGTCGAATTTTCAAAACCCACTCATACATTTCTGCTAATGCGCCCATTTCCAGTCCAAGGCCCGCTTCTTTGTGCCTGCATGTTAAAACAACGTCCGATAATAACCCACATCGCTGATAAACTATCAGTTTGTCGCAAGTGTTTGCCATACAAACTCGTACACATGTGAACAGGTGTGAGTATTTAGTCAATTTTGTTCAAATATAAACCCGGATTAGGAGTTTTTCGAAAAAGGTCGCTTTATCTGGAATCGGATTAGCGCGCAGAACGAAATTAGAGTGAGTATTGTTCGGAGAATAAATTGGACCTGCCATGATTATAGCGTGATGTATAGAAGTGTCACCCACTTCATAAAGCTTAAAGCGTTTTCGCGACCTTTAAAAGCTTTTGCCTACATGAAAACTTCATTAGCAATTAATTGTATGTATTGTGGGGATATTTTGAGAGCTCGTCGAGGACCCGGGTGGGGGATGTACGTAAAAGCTCTCTAATTGAGGTTTCGTAAGCAGATGCGACCTAGATTTTCCGGTTGCAGCAAAATCTTATTCACTGGTTGCATACATTTTTCTCTTCAGTCTTAGATACAAGCTGTAGATGATCTAGAGGATCAAATTTCCATTTCACTTTGCTTAAAACGACATTTTTCGTTTGCAACATCAAACGCGTCAGTGTACAAAGAACAAAAGGGGAGACAGAACCAATTTAAATCTAATTTCCAGTCCTGGTTGAGCTTCCAGAATGACAAGAAGCTGGTTCTGGAATGAAGTAATTTGTGGATAAAACGTACGCTCATATTCTCCAAGTCACTTTTATCGTCTGCAGAAACGTTTCTACATTCACGAGAAAAAAATTCTATTTAATCTCGGTAAATAAATCCGCTGCAGCAGCCATTTCAGCTGTACTCGCACCAATCGATATTCATTAGCTTTGTGGAGATAAACTAGAACAAGGTTAACTCGGGTTGCGTCAATGCGCCCTCTGAATGTCATTTTTTGTCTGTTGAATATTAAAAACGTTAATAAAAATAGCAACTTTCAACACCAGTTGCAATTTATTCAAAACGTTCAACTTTCCCCTTTGTGGCTAAAAATAGAAGCAAATTAGAGCGACCATTCTTCCCAGCAAACGTCAAATACACGTGCTTTCCGCCCCCTCAGATGTCTTCTGGCGACCGTTGACACTCGATCGATTCGTTATTTTTGTACTGGAGGGTGCTAAACAATGAATAAAACAAAAGCGATAATCGTAACAGTTCTTGGCCATAACCATAACCCATAAACGTCATCCCACCTAACCCATAAATTTATTTTTGTGCCAGCCTCCATGTCAATGTGAGGATTATGTTGAAAACACAGGATAAAGAGCTCCTTTGGGTTTGCGGTCAAAGATCAAGTTACCTTAAAGGTAGTCCTTTTCCCTTGGCGCGGACGAGCAAAACGAAAAATAGGTGTCCTAGTCTACGACGATCAATACAAAGGTGCCTTCTTTAAACGAAGAAAGAAGTGTCAAGCTTTCACTCTCTATTCCATTAACACTAGGTTATAATAATAATATGTATGTTATGTATATGTTGCAGCTCCACCTCAGCGATGCCGCTTTATCCTCCTGCTGTCCCAATATCTCCATCGAGGTGACCTCGCCATGTCCTCAGACGCCGAACGGCAGTTCTTGTGTCCCCGCCTTATAGACTACCTGGCTATAGTGGGGGCACGACCAAGCAATAATGTGAGGCAGAGCGCCAGTCCCCCCATCCAAGCCCCCGAGCTCCTTCGCCGCTACCCAGTCCAGGACCACAAGGACTTCCCCATGCCCCTCGACATGGTGTACTTCTGCCAACCCGAAGGCTGCTCCTCCGTCGGTCCTCGCCGGACCGCTCTCAGAGAAGCCTCCTCTTTCGTGTTTACTCTCACTGATAAAGATTCGGGAAAAACGCGCTACGGGATCTGCGTGAACTTCTATCGACCGGTGGAGAAAGTCTCCGGGGGCATGGGAGTGGGAGGGCGGCGGGCGAGCACCAACTTGCGACGAGACTCATGGAGGAAGAGCATGGAGAAGAGCTCCGATTCGGCCTTCTCAAGGTAAAGAGTCGAATTCGTGGGGGTAAAATTCATGGGGTGGTTAGTGATTATAGGAGCAGTAACGTGGGACCCAGTGACTCGGAGCGTGACTGTCCGAGCCGGAGGGACTCGGAGACGACGGGGCCAGGGACCATCCCGACGCCTCGACTGGGAGTGACGGCCCCTTCTAACGACTCGGAGAGCGGCGGGAGCCACTCGCCCTCCCCTAGAGCCAGTCGGAGGCGGCAGGTAAGTAAATATCGCTCGTGCGGTTTCGCTCCTAATTCGATCGCTCGTAGAGGGTCCGCAACCATTCTCTAACCTCGTTATGCCTTCTCTCCCACCACCCTTTCTTCTCCATGTTCCGGGAGTGTTTGTTCATCCTGAAGAAACTTATAGACGCTTGTAACGAATCGTCGAATCCCCGGAGAGTGGGCGGCTCGAAGCAAGTGCCAAGGTGAGGTCGCGACCGGGTGAGAATAAGAATTGATGAAGTTGATTTAAGGGATAACGTGTGGAGCGTGCTAAGCGGCCAGTCGAATGAAGGGGCCTCGTCGATTGTGTTGCACGACGTGAGGGAAATCGAGACCTGGATACTGAGATTACTCTCGGCTCCCGTCCCAATTCCCGGGAAAACGAAGTAATCATAAATTGCGGCTCTGGATGGGATTATAATTTGGTTTTGTAGGGTGGAGGTCGACGTGTTGTCGCCGAGCGTATACGAACCGCTGATATTCGCATTACCTAGCCATACTCGGTTCAGCCTTGTAGATTTTCCATTACATTTGCCTTTAGAACTTTTAGGTAAATACCGAAAACACGAGTGCCGATTTTCGATTTTCGTTGTTTGTTTTAAGGAGTGGAAACCTGTCTCAAAGTTCTAACAATAATACTGCTGGAGAACAAAGTTGTTTTCCAGTCGAGAGATTACAATGCTCTTTGTATGTCTGTGATGGCCTTCGTGACTATGATTTACCCTTTAGAATACATGTTTCCGGTGATACCGTTGCTACCGACTTGCATGAGCTGCGCCGAACAGGTACTCGAACGTTTCGAACTACCCGCGACTCATCTTCACACTTTTAGCTTCTCCTTGCACCCACGCCGTACGTAATCGGACTTCCAGCCAGTTTCTTGATGTATAAAAAGAACTTCAAGCTCCCGGACGACGTCTGGCTCGTCGATCTAGACTCGAATAAGCTTACCTCGTCGCATGAAATCCCCCCGCTGCCCGAACCCGAAGGCACCATCTTGAAAAACCACCTCAAACAGGTACGTACACGTGCGTACCGGCCCCTTATAATTTTAACACACGATCTCTTTCTTTTCTTCACCTCAGGCAATGCAACTTATGGATCAAGTTGGCACCGGAGTAATTATTTTTCTTGTCCTAGCACTAGAATGCTTGTTAGAGCACGCCAACTTTAGCCGCTAGTTCATGCATGCTAAATGTAAGCACCCACAATTTCCTCTTCTAACCGGAAATTGCTTCCAGGCTTTGGGAAGTCTGTCGACTCCGAGTGCCTCCAGCAACCAATTACAACCCTCGAGACGGGACAGCGTCTCGGGCCCCACACCCAACACTTTGAGGTACAATAGATGACAACTCGTGACTTATTCTAAAGCTGTGTTTGTAGTATCTCGAGGCAGAAATCTCCGGAACCGAGTCCCGCCCACTCCCCTATTATCTCCCCGAAGTTGTCCATCACCCCACAAACACCGATGCCTCCTCAAAGACCCGTGTCACCCACGCCACCCACCGGATTCAACCCTTTCATCTATGGAAACGACGTGGATTCGGTCGATGTCGCCACGAGAGTGGCGATGGTGAGGTTCTTCAACTCCCAGAACCTCCTGGCGAACTTTAGCGAACACACGAGAACTTTGAGGTTGTACCCGAGGCCTGTGGTGGCGTTCCAAATTAATAGTTTTCTGCGGTCGCGACCCCGAACCACCCAGTTTTTGAACCGGTTCGCCAGAACCCAAGCAGTGGAATTTTTAGCAGAGTGGTCTCTAACTCCGACGAACGTCGCTTTTCAAAGGGTTCACACGGGAATTCTAGACCCGGCCCAAATCGGGGACAAACCTAAATGGTATTTACACACTTTAGAACCCATCAAATTTAGCGTCTGGGATGACGGGAGCTCTCTCAATGGGGCTTTGAGGAGTTTGCAGACCCAAGAAAACCAACCGACTGACGAAAGCGGCTCAGATTCCGAAGGAGCCGAAAGTACAAGTTCAAGCTACTCCTCCTTGAGCGACTTTGTGTCTGAAATGGTCTCTTCAGATTTATCCCCAGGTTGCTCTTCATACCAAGACCAAAGAAAAGCGTCGGCTCAAAACATGTCTTTGTCGTCGAATCTTGACGTGGACACTGTGTATAGACCACCCTCGGAGTTACAATACCCTGATGGCGAAATCCCCGCTGATCGCACAGAGTCGCCACAATCATCTTCCAGTAGCGAGTCAGACCTCAGCTCCCCTTCGTTCAACAGAGACTCAGAACTGGAATTCGGTAACCGCCAAAAGACTGAACAAGTGCATGAAAAGACTGATAAAGAGGAGACCGAAAGCTTCGAGAACGAATCCGACTCGAACTCCACCACGACGCCGAAGACCATAATGAGCTCCAACACGATTAAACCCGAGTCCCCTAATAGCACGATCAGCGAAGAAAGGCCTACCACCCCGAGGAAGACACGTCAAGGACGGTCAATCACCCCGGTACCACCTGTGACCCCCATTCTTCAGAAGCAGCCCAGTATCGGGAACGTACTAGCACGGACTTCAAGTTTTGGCTCATCCGGAAGTGGTAGTCCGGTACCACCATCATCGGCAAGTAGTGGTAGCGGAGTTCAAAGACAAAGTTCTCAGGGATCACTTTTTGAACAGTTTGCGTCTCAAGCTAAAGAATTGATGAAAGAAACAACGCGCCAGAGCAGCCAGGACGGGTTGTTGGCCCAAATGGACAAGTTCAAGATACAAGCCAAAGAAAAACTGACCGAAGCTGAAGAAAGCCACATTTTTGCACCCTTCGACAAGGTTGGTAGTTCTTGGGGGGAGTTTGTCTTAATATGTTGTTTTTAGTTGACGACGCATGCGAAGAAAGCGGCTGAAGAAGCGTCGAAAAGTGTGCAGGAAGCAAGTAAGAGTGCGCTAGAAGCTAGTAAAACGGCTACGGCTGTTAGTAAAAATACTCTTGAAGATTTGACGTACGTGGGGAAATCGACGCTTGGGGATTTAACCAAGAGCGCGAAGGAAGTGGTGACGAAGAAAGGGTTGTTGAGGGTGAGAACACCCACTGTTTCTAGTATAAGTCTGACCGACTCCTTTCAGGCTGACTCTTTCTCAAAAGGATCTGAATCGCGCAGAGAGTCAACGAGTAGCTCTACGTCTTTAGTAGCCACTTCTAGTGTGATATCTGGGGCCAGTCGCGACTTCTTTTCTAACATTAGCTCAGATTTGAACGGAATTGCCGCTAGTACTACTAGCATGTTCTCGGATTTGTTTGGAAGCAAAAAGGAACACCCGAAAACCGGTGAAAGTCCGCATGTTCCGCAAAAACCCAAAGACACGAAGAGTGGTATGTTTGGACCCTTCCCCCGAGGTCCCAGAGGTTTGGTCGAAAAGAGCCCCCTCATAAAACACGCCCCGAGGAGACAAGATGACATTCAAAGAAAGCAATCGGTTGACAGATCGGCCACCAATAGCGAAAATCAGGCGTTTTTGAAGGACGTGGTCAATCAAGTCTTGGAAGGGGAAGGCGTCGGTTGGCTCAAACTCAATAGGTTGAAGAAGCTAATGGAAGACGAATCCTATCGGAATTTCGTCTTAAGCAAGCTTAATAAAACTCTGGATAAGAAAATAGCCCCAGATGACCACATCGACGACGTTTGCGTACCCAAACCCGTTTGGAAGGGAATGTTGAAGGTGCTCCAAGCCGTGGTTCACGGTTTGGAGGTGACTTATAGTAACTACGGCCTCGGAGGGATGGCGTCTGCTTTCCAGCTACACGAAATTGCTCACACTCATTACTGGACTAAAGAACTGATCGAAGGTTCCACCGATTTTACTCAAGTAAAGTTTTAACCATCTTGGTGTTTTATTCACTAATAAGAGTTTTTTTTTTGTAGAGCTCTAGTCCTCGCTCTCCTCAAAGCCCCCGCTCTTCTCTCCAACTCGAGTGGGACGCTTCTCGCAAATCCTCCCAAGCCGAAGCCCCTGAAGTCCGTTTGATCCAAGGCGACGAATCCGAAGCCGACGGCCAACAGTCCACCGCGGACATGTTCAAAGACATGCTCACCCAAAAGAAAAACATGCTTTTGTCCAAACTTACCTCGTTCGACTCCGATGTAAGTCTTTAGTCCCCCCCCCATGCATGTCATGCCGATCAGGCATATTCCTCGGAATATGCTTGATGTTTGTGTTGTATGTGGCAGGCTGAAGGGACAATACAAGGGTCCGGGGGTACCATTTCTCCTTCCGGAGGTTCGATAACCACTGGTCCCGCTTGCGGTTTGAATAGAGGTGGAGGTCAGTCTTCGTTCAGATCGACGGTGTCCGATACGGAGGTCGAAACCTTGCAGGTGAGGATGCTTTGGTGGCTTCTGTATTTATAAGTAGTCGTTTGCTGCTCTTACCACGACGATTCCGTTGTTGCAGTTCCCTAAACTACCCAAGCAACGAACGGCGAGCGTGTGGTCGAGTAAGTCGTCGTTGAGCACCGGGTTCAGGTACCACGGAGGCCACATGGTGAACACCGTGACGTCGCCGTCGCCGGACGCCGTCAGGACCTACCTCTTCGAGGGTTTGTTAGGGAAGGACCGGTCGTCGCTTTGGGACCAGATGCAGTTCTGGGAGGACGCGTTCCTGGATGCGGTGTCGCAAGAACGGGATATGATAGGGATGGACCAGGTGGGACTGCGGTAAAAGAGAAAGAGTAGTGGAGTCAGGGTGGATTTTAGGGTCCTCGCGAGATGATGGAGCGCTACAAAGCTCTGAGCGACACCGAACGCAAGCGGCTCGAACACGAAGAGGACAAACTCTTGGCGACCATGTTGTATAACCTGACCGCGATTCTGGTGATGCTCAACTGTAACAAAGCCGAAGTGAAACGGAAGATCAGGCGTCTGCTCGGTAAAAGCCATATCGGTTTGGTGTATAGCCAAGAGGTGAACTCTTTACTGGACCAAATCAATAACTTGGTGAGTCCTTTGGGTTCGGCCACAATTTCTTTTATCGAGTCGCATTGCAGCACGGTAACGATATTGATTTAAAACCTTTGGGATCCCGGCTTTTACACCGTCAGAGTTTTACTGTCCATCAAGGAGTTGATGGCGGAGGAGAATTACGGTTTATGGAAGTTCGTGATGATGGCCTGGTATTGCGATCGGTATCCGGGGTCATAGTGGAGCGGTGGTGGTTCGAGCGATTGGTAAACATGACATATAGCCCGAAAAATAAAGTGTTGTGTTTGTGGAGGAGGAACGGACAGCAGACCCAACTTCATAAATACTACACGAAGAAGGTTAGTGGTGGGGCGAGGCGACGTTTCGCTTTTAACGGTGTATTTACAGTGCAAACAACTTTATTATTGCATCAAGGAGGCGATGGAGCGGGGAGGAGTGGCAGGGACTGCCCCCGAGTTAGGAGGCGAGTTTCCGATTCAAGATATGAGCACCGGCGAGGGGGGGTTGTTACAGGTTTGCATGGAAGGGGTGGGATTGCTCTTCGCCAACAGCAAGGTGATACGATCAGGATTTTAAGATTAAGACGAGAATTGAGAGACTGATGCAAGGGGACTAAAATGAATCCGCGTTCATTTTGGTCTCTGCGAATTTTTTCTACTCTTTTTTTTGTTACGTGTTGTTGGGTGCGCTGTGATATGTGCATTTGTCTGCAAGGACCACTCAAACTTTCCTACTTGCTCTGCCACTCGCTCGGTGCCATCTCTGTGTTTTTTTTTGTTGTTCTGTAAAACGAATTTAGGGCAGCGTAAAATCGGAGGCTCTTGACTCAGGTAGTAATTTTTTCTTCATTTTTTTCTTTATTTAAAAACTCTATAAGTGTACTTATTACTCTGAATGCATGCAGCTCGATGTGCAATAAGTCTTAAGATCTAGCTCGACGTTGAGAATTTTTTATTTCTTTTGAATGTTTGGATGCTCTTTCTTTTCTATTCTCTATCTATCTATCTATCTATCTATCTTTCTTTTCTTTTATTTTTCTCTATATCGATGTCGATGAGTGGTCATGTTTGGCAATGGGGCGCTCTCGACGTTCCCGCGCGTCTAGACCGCCCCCAGGCTGAGGCTTAGGAACTTTTGAGATGGTCCTTGTCGGTTACGAACTCGTCACTAATGTTGTGTTCTGTTGGTTTCTATTTCCGTTGATCTGTCCACGTCGGTCGCTGGCTGCTTGGCAGGACTTTGAGGTATATAAAAATCTGATCTAATTTGATCGTTAGATTAGTTACTAGTCTTTGTTTAGTTAGCGCTTTTTCCTGTAGTTGATTTGCTGCATCCCTCACCCACTTCCTTCCTAATCGAACACCGTTTTTGATTTTCAACTTTTATTATTTCATTGCAAATCCGAAATTCTAACGACACGAGTTCCGATTCAGAATGCTGCTGAAACATGTTCGCATTTAAACGTAGTGTAGAGTGCTGCTTCTGGCGGGGACCGCATGGCAACTCACACCTGCACAACAGACACACACACTCTCACACACTTCTACCATACCATTCTACCAGTCTATACTGTTTAGGCCCATCATACATTGAGCAAACCATCTCTGAAGTTGCCTAGAGCTTCACGCATGACACGCGATGGCTGCATGACTTCTATTTTGCTTTGCTTTACTACTGTCCTGTCTCGATGTTCTCTACGTAACCACTAAATGTGTTGCAGTTTTTCGTACGGATAGATCACATCAGGAAGTGCTTCACGCAGAAGGGCGGAATCTTCGTCATCGAGGAGTTCAGTAAGTAGAGAAACGTAAATGGCGCAGTCGGACGGAGTTCAATTCCCGAACATACGAATATGATCAATTTTATTATTGTGTTTCATACATAGAAAACTACCTACTAAGCTAGCTGCCAGGAAATGTGTTCGGTTCTGCGAGGACTTGCGGAGGCAATAGTTTTTAATGTTGGAGTGTTTGCGGAGGCTAAGAAATAGTTATGGAACGTTTATGGCTTCGGAACGGTTATAGTTTCTGGTAGATTACCTAGAGTGGGACGAGTATTTCTCATAAATTTGAATAGAGCGTGTATTATGGGTTTGAGGGGCATTTTCGGTGCACGTATATTAAGGGAATCGATTCCTGGAGTAATAAACCTTCAGCGGTTATTTCTACTTAACACAGTGTCGCGTTTTATCGTTTTCAGGACTGCTAAAGTTGGAATGTCGAAAACGCCGCATTAAATGTTCGGAATTGAATGCAGCATTTAGCCGGAGGCGGCTGCCCCCGCCCCCTCTTTATTAAAATCAGATTTGCTCCTCGAACCGTTGATTCACCGAACTCGTTCTGTTGCAGATCCCAAAACGCGCCAAGTCATCCAGCGAAAGTACAAGTCTCCAATGGTAAATTTCCCCACATTCCTTCCGTTCGTCTCATTTCGTTTTTCCCTTCCCATTTTGTTTTACACCCGCACGTTATGTTATAGGCTAGCGAGATGTTGTTATTATTTCACCGGATAACCTCCATTTGCATGACACAGAGAATTCATGAGTTCGTACCCTCATCTGCATGAGTATTTTATTCGTAAGCCCCCCCGCGCCGCCCCCATCAATGTTTCACGCGCCGCTTGCTTGCAGGCCGACCAGATCTGCTACTCCGTGCTGTGCGTCTTCTCGTACGTGGCCGCCGGCTCCGAGCGGCGCGCCGCCGCCTCCAAGGCCGCCACCCCGCGCGCGTCGCTCGCGCCCCTCAGCTGCATGCGCGCCCCCGCCTCGCCGCAGGAGCCCGAGGCGCGCCTCGAGCCGCCCAGCCCCGAGCCGGGCAGCGTCACCCCCACGGGCGGGCCGCCGACGTACCCGCCGCCCGCGCTGCCGCCCGGCGTGCCGCCGCCCGCGCCGCCGCCGGGCCTCCGCGGCTTCGCGGTGCCGGCGCAGCTGCCGGCGCGCCCGCCCCCGGTGCCCAGCCGCAGCCTGCTCCCGAGGCAGCCGTCGTCGCCGCAGCCGCCGCCCCGCCCGAAGTGACGCCATGGGAGGTACTCCCTGCCCTTCATCTACGGGGAGGAGGCCTGCATCCTGCCCTCGTGCCTGCCCTGGGCCTAGCCATATCAGCGTTTTCGTTTCTTGATATTGTACATTATGTAGACACACCAAAAGTTTCCTATTTGTATAGTTGGGAGGGGTTGCAATAAGCGGAGGGCGGCTCCGAGGAGCCCTATATTAATAAAATACTGTGCCTACATGGTAGCCATCGTGTATACTTGTATATAGTTCACCTATTCCAGATGTACCGTTATATTGATTTTGGCAAGCAATATTAGAGGTGTTGTTCAACCCGCTGAAGCTTATGTAAAAGACATTTTACATGTGAAATAAATTCTAAAAGAGTTACCCGTGTTTTTTTTTTGATGATGATAATGGCGCCTCTCTTGACGAACATTATTTAACGGACTTTTTCTGAAATGGAACGAATATGTAAATTTTTATGCAAATTCGGAAAGGCTTTTTGATATTAGTATGCAAAGCCTCACTAGCTTTTAGAAGTGAACGTTTAGATGTTGCGATAACTGTCATTTCCTTCTTTGAGGTAGCAAAAATGAACATTTGGTTACAAATGACATCGTTTCGTTGGTACAAAGAAAACTCGACGAGTAAATGCCTAATATAGTGACGACGTGGCTAATTAACTTTCAGCAGGGAACTACTAGTCAAGAGATATTAACAAGTCGTCCTGGATTCAAAGCACACCACTTTGAGCCCGTTTCTGACGAGAAATTAGAAAGGGAAGATGATACGGGTAGAAACGTGGGTTTTCCTAGAAACGCCCACATGCATAAAATATTTAAATGCAATTGACATTTTAATGCGCAGAGGCGGTAGCTGGAAATAAATACATCAGCTTCCTGGAACAAGCTTGTCGTTATTCCAAATGGTCAAAGAATAAATCAAGTCGTGTGCGTGTTGACTGCGAAAATATTCCCTTGAAATCGCAAAATCATCAGACAAAATGACTTGGAACTGGTCGAGCTTATAAGCAGCTTTATCTAATTCCAAGCAAAAGATTGAAAGAATCGCTACCGCGGTAGCAAAATATGATAGATGCACGAAAGCTCACGGTAGTGCGCATACTATTTCTGGCTCAGTCAAAATTGTTAAGACTCCTTTCTGGACTAGTTGTCGTTTCGCAGACTGTGACGAATGGACCCAAAGCGAACGACACGAAAGCTTCTCGGCCCATTCGTGGGTGTACAAAAATGCGTGGGTAACCCAATAAATCGTGTGGGTGTGCGCTAAACCTGTTTTCAAGTTTGTCGTTGCGAAGGATCGAATGATAATGTTGGCGTGCCCTTTAGCGTTAGACGTCTGGAACAAGACCATTTCGACTTCAGCATCGCGATATTTATTTGAAGTAAGCAACGCAGTGCTCTTTTCAAATTAGGTCCTAACTAATTCAGGACCTTATGGCTTTGAAGTCTAAAAAAGCATCTTGACAATTTCATTTCATGAATATTTGAAACCCTGAAAGCTGGGAACCGATTCCGAGACTACAGATTGGTAGCCAAAGTTTGAATGTCGTGCGAGTGGCACTAGGAACGCTCGTAGGACACGTGGTCCTTTGAAGATTACCCAAAAAAATTTCTGGTACGAGATCGTCTGGGTGTAAGAAGAGATTTATGAATGTTTGAACGGCGCTCGTTCGACTTTGGAGAAAAATGCAGCGTATTACTCAGCGATGCAAATTCGTATTAAAATTTCCGGCGAGAGAGGCACGCAGCGAGTAAGGGAATAATAAATTAATTTCGAAATTTCTAATTTATCATAGAAATGGAAACGAGCACCTTTACGCGCAAAGTGCCCGCACAAGAAATCCTCCCTCCGCTCCTATAAATAACCTCTTTTTATTCAAACATGCTTCTGTCTTAAAGCGCTTTTACGACGCCGCTGTAAAATCGAAAAGTGGCGCACAAAAAAATCTTAAAATTTCCTCACCCCTAATGTACTTTGGCGTTGCTCGGAACGAAGTAGTCAAAACTTAAAATGTCATTACGGCAAATCCCTTCCTCATATCGGCTTAGCATGGTCGGCACGAACGCGCGCGTGGCCTTTTCCTACCCCTTCGATCGCCCCGGACCCCTTCTTCTACGTCCCCGGAATTTCAGCAACCGCAGCGAAATATTTGTGTCGGGGGCGCACATAACAAATTTAATCTCTTGTCCGCACTTATTCCGCCCGATTTTAATAATTTCGTTAGCCGGACTATTCCGGGACACTTGCACATCCGGGCGCATCCGCGTTTTTGACCTCCGACGCTTTAATCGAATTTCGACCACTCGGACAACGTCCATCCCCGATCCAATTAACAGTTTTATGGACGCTTATTTTCATCCGGTCGCATGACTAACACACAACACAAAAATTCTAGATGAAACCTCAACGATGAGTAATGTAATTCTTGACTTAGAATAACCTTGGAAAAGCCAGACTATACTTAAGGAGTAAGCAAGCACTTTCGTTAATTTATTAAAAGTAAGTCTTCACTCGGGCGTCAGTTTTTTGCAAAAACAGCAGCGATTTTCGTTGAAAACCTCCCGGATCGCAATTCCGGTGCATTCTCATTTTTGGGTGTACCGGCGCCTCCGCCATTTTAATTACATTTCGGAATTATGAACTGATCAAATCCCAAGTCAAACTTTAATTAAAAACGATTAAATTTAAACCGCAATTCCGACAATTAGCCTAATCTCTGCGCCCCATTAACCCTCGACATCCAGGTGAGCTACGGCTCCGGGCCAGACTCCGGTGTGAGTCACGTATGAATGCGAAATTAAGACTTAAGTAAGAATTTATGATGTAAACAGCGGAAAGTTAGACGAAACGGTTACTTTACAGTATTACCCTAAGCAAATGTTTGGGCAGCCGGTGCCAGCCTCCATATTTATCGAGAGCGAGGTTACATCGCGTTACCCTTCGCAAATATTTACCGGATTTTTTCAAAATAGCGCTTCAATCCGGTCCCAGTTGAGTCATCATACGGAACTAGCCGTGTAAAAAACACACGAAATCATCGTTTAAAGCCGTCCCGGGGGACAGATTAAAAGCGCAACCGATGCCAGCGGAATCTCGCATCGCAAATAAACCGGCCCGAAGATTGCGCTCGTTCGGAAATAATTATTTAATTAAGGAAAAAAGTTAATGGGGCGCGGCGCAGGACCATTGCTGGGTTATCGGGGGACGAGGAACGACACAGGGGCTTAGCCCGGGACGAGGGAGCTAATTTAGAGGACAAGGGAAAGGAGTTATTGTTCTAAATGGTCGTGTTAAGGCTCAAAGCCTCGTTGGGTCGGAGCAACTAATTTGGGTTTTTTTCCGCAGCTACCGACATAATTTAGGCTTTCAGTGTTGCTCTAAATACTTATTGTAAGTTAAAAGATCGTCGTCGACGCACTGTACGGCGACTAACATTTATAGAAAACTCCGCTGTCGTTAGTAGCCGGTTGAACCTTCGACGATACCCTAAAGCTCGTAAATTTATTTATAGTAGTTCGATGGGGTGTCTTTTGTGTAGTGTTGACGCGGTTGCCAGTGCGACCGCTTTCGGAAGAGTCGGTTTCCGATTCTGGTGTTTATATATGACTAATTGGATGGTCCGCCCACCTGGTGGCCGCATTCAGAGTCCCGTTCCGCTCATCCGCCCCCACATCCTCGACATAATAGAAGCAATTAAGATACCGCCGTTGATGCAACTTCGAAACTTCATTACGCCGCCCCGACAACAAGATCTCGGCATATTCGTGTTGTTAATCGACGTCATCTCACGTACATCTCTTCCGAGTGATAAATGCCGGCAGTCGAGATGGATTCTCACGCCGTAAGTCGGCCAGAAAGCGTAGTTATTAATCTCTCGCCAAAACATATCCTCGCGGCAATAACAATTTCTGCAAACTTTCCTAATATAGATTAGTTTCGCACTGGTTTCGCCTTGATCAAGTCGATCCCAAGAATGTTTCGCCGCAAATAACGATTCGCAAGCCTTTTAACGTAATAAAATACTTGCCCTCTCGTAGTCAAATTACTTACGGAAAATTTCTTTGTGAAACGCAAATGGAATTCAATTTCGCCAAGACAAAGAACTCGGTTTTTCCGCAAAAAATCGAATTAATTCCCGAATTGCTCGGCTAGGTGATGGCGGCCGGGCTGTCCGAGGCAGGGGGCTCTAAATCAACCAAGCAAATGAGGCAAAAACTTCCAGGGGTTATTAGTAAGTAGGAGCGCGTTTGTCGTTCTTATGGCGTACTTCGCCGGGTGTAGTATTGGAACCCACGGGTATTCTTTCCGTTGATTATCTTATTCCGCTGGTGTATCAATTAGTAGCCGCAGCCCCCGCGGTCACGCTCTGGCTCCGGATCGGGGGCCCGGCCCTGATAAGGGGTAGGTGCGTCGTGCGTGCCCTGCTTCAGATTATCCATGGACATATGAGGGTCGAGTTTGTTATCCCGAGCGGCACGCGGGCTCCCCAGGGAGCGAAGATTGCCAAAGTTGGGAAGCCTCGCACTGTCCAATATATACGGCCCGAAACATCAAACTTTTCCGCACCGAAGAAAATATATGTCGGTGGACACGCCTCTTCTTAAAGCTTGACAGGGTCTTGAATTTATCGGGGGCATAACCGTAGCCACCACCTGTTCCATGCGGATGTGGAGAGACCAAGCGCTGAGATAATAGCGAGTATCGACGATTGCGCCGCGGTTACGGAAGTGGGAGTTTGTTTAATCAAGTCTGCATATTGCACCGAGATGCAAATATTGCCATCGAATTGTGGAAAATTTGATACCGGCTTTAGGAGTTGCAGACTGTCTTGAAACTAGTAAAGTTAATCCCTGGAGAGAGCGTTGCATGTATTGCAATATGAATTCTCAGTTTGACCTTTACTACGGCAGACAGTTTGAGTGACAAAATGTTAGAAGCACAACACAAATAATGGAAGAGATCGATGCGGCTGGAACTTACAAAGTTCAGCTGCGTATAGTCGCTTAAAAGTCGCCTGATCTTAACTGTTCCACAATGAGACATACGGGGTTATGTCAATCTTGACGTGCCCGGAAAATTTATAAACTCGG